CCTGGAGACCAGCTACCTCCTGGAGACTAGTTATCTAGCTGAGGACTAGCTACCTCCTGGAGACTAGTTACCTCCTGGAGACTAGTTATCTAGCTGAAGACCAGTTACCTCCTGGAGATTAGTTACCTCCTGGAGACTAGTTATGTAGCTGAAGACCAGTTACCTCCTGGAGACTAGTTACCTCCTGGAGACTAGTCATCTAGCTGAAGACTAGCAACCTCCTGGAGACTAGTTATATAGCTGAGGACTGACTACCTCCTGGAGACCAGTGACCTCCTGGAGACTAGTTACCTCCTGGGCACTAGTTATCTAGCTGAGGACAAGCTACATCCTGGAGACCAGCTACCTCTTGGAGACTAGTTACCTCCTGGAGACTAGTTATCTAGCTGAAGACTAGAAACCTCCTGGAGACTAGTTACCTCCTAGAGACTAGTTATCTAGCTGAGGACTAGCTACCTCCTGGAGACCAGCTACCTCCTGGAGACTAGTTATCTAGCTGAAGACTAGCTACCACCTGAAGATTAGTTATCTGGCTGAAGACTAGTTACCTAGCTGAAGCAGCTAGCAATGCTGCTTTTCGCTCTGGTCAGTCTGGCTTTGACGAGTGAGGCGTCTGCTTGTATTCTCGGTGCCTCTCCTGCCAGGCCTGCCTTAGGAGCGCCCCCAACCCCCAGCGAAGGCCTCAAAGGCAGATAGAGGTCCACAGAGGAGGAAGCAGGCACACCAGAGAGTCGGACTCAAAAGGGTTTTTTTCAGGTGAACACAGAGGGTGACCTGAGTGTGTGAGACATGTCAGAGTATTAGGACGGGAGTCTGTAAGTCTGCTGCCAGCTGCTTCTGGTGGGGAGATGCAGGCACTTCCTAAGTGCTATGCTACACGTAGGGTGTTCCAGACAAGGAGTCCCTGAAGACAGCAACCGCCTGTGCTTTCCCGACTCGGGGCGATGCGGCACAGAACTCTTTCAACTCCTTTAAAGGCAGTCAGACAGGTATGGTGGAGACGGTAAGAGCCTGCCTGGTAGACATGAATGGGTGTCTCTACGGCCTTCGGTTTCTTTCAAGGACTCTAAACCTTCCTGCTCTCCTTTTTAAGTGTAGGTTGTGACTTCATGTCATAGACGGCATGGTAGTCACTGAATTTCATGATGAACTTTAATGAGTTTATTGAAAAATACTAGAGAGAATGTACTTTTAATGATCCTGATTACAAGGCATGAGTTGGGAACTCTGTCGTGCTATGTGCGTGCCCTTGGATGTGCAAGGACAGTCTATCAACTCCCATGTCTCCCTGCAAATTAAAAAACAAAACGAAACCAGATCACCTGGCACCACTGCTACAAGAGGCCTTGCGAAGGCCTATTTGCATTTTATGGAAACATTTGGTCTGAAAGAAATCAATGTATGGATTATATCATCTTATAAAGTAATGTGGATATGATTTAGCCATTTCTCCAAATAATATTAAGTGAATAATTTCTTAAGTCAGGTAAGGAAAAGTGTGTGTGTGCATGTAGACACACACACAGATATATTTACGTGCATATATACACACATATTCACTTGCATGTATACAGAGATCAGACATATTCACATGCATGCATACACACATGCAGATGTATTTACATGAATGTATAATATGTATTTACACACACAGAGGAAGTACACGTGTGTGCAAGTATATGTAAACATAGAGAGATGGTTTCTTTCCCTTTGGTCCTCAGGAAGCTTAGAATCAAGTTTAATGCCAAGCTTAAATATTAGCTAAACAGTTCATGGTATGTTTACTTCCCTCCTGACTATAAAATATAAAACCCAAAGTATTTCTAAAACCTCCCCTTAATCTCTCCAAATGTAGTTTACGTGTTTCCATCAAGTCGCACACGTTGTTGCCTTCTCTGTGACGTTCACCCTGGTGGTGCTTTGCTCTCCACCCTCTCTCCGGAGGCCCTCAGGCAGGACACCTGATGCATGGCCACCTTGCACCTGGGGCACATTTCTGCCTTCCTGCCCCCACCCGTTCCCGCCTGCAGCTGCTCTGCCTGGATTGCACGTTTACACGGCCCTCAAAGCTGGGAAGTGTCCTCCGGTCACTCACAGTCAGCCAGCTTAGGTGTCTTAAGGAACAGGGAAGCTGCGAGGGCACAGACAAGGCACAGTCAGCGCGACCACGAGGAGCCGCAGCGCTCTGAGTGTTTGCTCACCATATTCTGCTGGCAAAGCCAATAAAACTGCTGGAATTTCTGGGACATCAGAAGCTGGGCACTCCCAACGGCACTCCTGATTTTACCAAGAACTGTGGAAAAGAAAAACAGGTTTGAAATTGGGTCAATTAAAAAACAAAAGGAGAAGCATTATACCAAGGGCATAAATTTCAAAGTGAGTGGGCCATAGTCTCTTTTATTGAGATTAAAAGTTTGAATTTATTGTGCAGAACACGTCCGCTGACCGATCTTTTCCAATCTGCTCCATTTCTGATTCTCGAGGGAAATTCAACGAGGCGCAAACAGCGACTACTAGCACGGTCCTCCTGGGGGCCGGTCGGTCTGGGAAGGGGGTCTGTCTGCAGGGCCGCGTCCTGGTTTCGCGCATCCAGGCTCCTGTCATGCTGCTGTTCAGATGGGCTGGCAGACGGGAAGCAGGCATGAGGAAAAACACCTCACCTCACACTTTCTACTCCATAACCTGGGAGAGAACTCCGTGAAGAAGTAATTTCTTAACTTTAAGGAAATCACTTTGACGCCTATTATTTCATTTCATCCGACCAAATAGTTTTGAGTGAACCGCGGGCTCCTGTCTCAGGAAGGCCGCCAGGTACGCCTGCAGAGATGGGGTCGGCAGGTCGCCATGCTGAGGATGGCCTGGTCCTCGCCTCTGCCGCTCCATGCCCCTACTGAGTCCCTGAGGGCCTTGTCATGATACGTGTTCCGGTTCAGTGGGGTGGGGTGGGGCCTGAGGCTGCGCTGCATGCAGGGATGAGGCCCTGGCACGGCGCACACCCCACCGTGGAAGCCAGGACTGTCCACAGACGTGGTAGCTGGGCTCCAGAGGCGAGACACAGTCCTGCTAGCTTTCTCCCACAATTTCCCTGAACACCAGTAATTCCAACAGGCAGTCTCCAGACCCATACATTGTGAGGCCCACTCCCCCTGCACTGGGAACCTGTCACAGACCCTGACATCCTGACACAAGCCACCTGCTGTGGCTCCTTTTCCTGGCCGGGGTCCAGGGGAAAACGCTCAGAGACAGCTGCGGGAAGGGTCTTAGTGCCTGCACAGCGAACACCAGGCTATCACACCAGTGTCTCAGACATATGCCCACTGTCAGGAAACAGTGCCTAGGACAAGCTGTAAGGTGAAAGAAGTCGATTACATGGTGATGCAGACAGCCCAGCACTCATTTTTAAGAACGAGGACCCAGCATCATACAACATATTCCCAAAAATGAGTTTGTCCTGGGTAAGATAATGGGCTTGGACACTTGTTAATTTGCCTGCCTCTTTTTATTTGTCTGTAATGAGCCTAGTTTCCCGTAGTCATGAAAATTTCACACACGTAGAACACGCCACAGGAAGTATAATGTGTGCCTCCATCTCCATCACCTAGAATCAGAATGCTGATTTTCTGAACCACCCCGCGAGCTATAGCCACACTTCACCTGCCATCACCCCGAACAGCCACAGGGCATTACCATTCCTAAGGAGTTAGTGTTTCCCCATCTCTTCTAACTCTAGTCTGCTTCTAGCTACTACTGGAGAGCTTAAAGAAGGTAGCTTTTAATAAAAGGGAATCATTTGGGTAACGCTGGGCCCCCTTTCGGACTCGAAGAGAAGAGAACGGCTCATCGTCACCCATCCTGATGGGGTTCGGGGTCCACAGCAGGAGGGGCTTGTGCCCCCAGCCCACCAGGCCCAGCTCCTCCACCTGACTTGCCAGCAGCCTGGCTGAGGGGAGGGAGTGGGAGCCCCAGGGCAGGGCCTGGGGTGCAGGACTGGGAGTGTGGGGTTCAGTACCTCATACTCCTCGCACTTGGTGCCCCAAATGGTGCCCCGGCTGCTGCTCCTTGCAGAGGAGCTATTGTGGGTCCAGAAGTGCTGACTCCCCGCTCTGAGGCCCTGCAGCCTGCCAGGCCGATGGGAACACTGAAGACATCATTCATTCTAACCATTGCTGCTGAGGAATATACGGAGTGATAAGGCTAATTAAGAAGTCGATCCGTTTTATACAACTTGAAGTTTTAAACTCTGAAGTTTATATTCCTCTTAAAAGTAATTTAATGGAAGTATTAATGCAAAGTACTTCGATTATAATCTTTAGCACAATGTGGAGAGGCGGGCTATATCTTGGTGTTGCCCTCATGCAGTGATGGTTCCTGTAAAGGGCACAAATCAGTCATTGCCAGGGACAGGGAACGGCAGGACGGCTCTTGGCAGGAGAATCTTGCTGCTCAGTGAGTGGGGATGATTCTGACACCTATAATGGAAATGGCTTTTATAATTGCAGGGAATTTGACATGATAATTCAATTTATTTTTTCCCACTGTATTTCTCTAGTTCTGTCATAGTGTAGACACTTTTTCTTTCAAGGGCTGCAGATAAGGACCGATGCTCATCAGGCGCGAACTTACCAAGAGCCTGATACGCATGGGCCTTTGATGTACAAATAAATCTGATTGACTCACTTGCTCTTTTAATTTACTTTTCATGCACCTTCTGTAATTTCCAATTCTATCTAAATTTGCTGCCAAGTGCCAGGATAACATTTACACTATTCCTTTCTTTCAAAATTTGAAGTGCATTTTTGTAGAATTTGCCAATGGTTGGCAACAGTCATTTGAATGTTTAAGACCTCTCTGATCTCCTGGGACTCGCTCGTGACTGACCGCAGTGCTGGCGGGGGACCTCGCTGCCGTCGCCTGCTCAAGGCGTCCATACTCGAGGAGCACACCTGTTATGTTGCGGTGGCTGAGCTGTGCAGGGACATCACAGGGCGCTCACCTCGTGCTCGGCAAGCCCCTGGACATGGTCCCTGGGGTCTGCCCTGTCGCAGTCTGGGAGCGAGTCCGCTCCACCTGGAGGGCAGGTTAGATCCGAAGCGGCCACCGTGCAAACAGCACGTCTGAGCAGGACCATCACCCTCCTTTTCGATGCCTCGATTTGCTGCCTTCTCTGTTGATCTGAGACCTCCAGGACAAACTTCAGGCCCCTGTGCGTGTCCTCCCCATCCTCCTGCCTTTGGGACGTGGCCTTGCCTCCGTGGTGTCACTCTGAGACGTGTGCCGTCTGCCATTCAGCACAGCCTGCCCAGTGAGGTTTCTCCTCCAGATACCCTGGCATCTCAGCATGGAAGAAGGGGGGAGACCTGCTGCCATACACACACCCTAGGATCTGCATTAGCAGGACCTGTGGGCCTGCGGGTCCCTGCTAACACCCAGGAAGAGGAGACGTCACCAGAGCCCCTGCCCAGCTCTGCCGAGTCTGTGGATCTCTGCATACGCCCAGGGGATGTTCAGATTATTAGCTATTTTGGAAACACTTGCTTTGGGGCAATACAACTTCCCAACCCCTTTCAAGAGGTCCCTGCTGGTGAGTTCCCCATGTGATTCACATCCCTAGGGACCCATGAGTAAGGCTTTCCCAGCTTTGGAACAATTTCTTTTATGTTTCAGAAAACATCCTGTTGTTTGTTTCACTTTGTCCATTTACCCATTTGGTTTAACATAGTTAACACAAAAATCCCTAAACACTAGTCTAGCAATGGTTTACAATCCCTCCCGAATATATCTGTTCATGTATTAACAACAGGAAGACTGCATTAATATGACTTAACTTAAACCAGGATTTATCTAGGCTCCCCATAGCTTTTATTGACCACAAAGGACTGAATGAATCTAAATTCATTCAAACAGTTCAGTGAACTGTGAACATAAAACTACGGTTTGGAGAAAAATTTTCTCTTGTAATAGAAATTTCAATATTCAGAGCTCAAGTTTTGGTTTTACTTTTTAAAAGTGTTATAACCAATAACCCTGTATCTATTCTTAAAATTAGGGCTAGAATCAGAAGTTACCAACCTTTGAACATTTTTAGGGAAATACTACACTGGTTTAATATGATGCTAGTTTTATCTGCAAAGCATGCAGATGAGATATGCAATGACGCTCTTTCCACCTTTGCCCACAGGAAGATCAAGATATCTGGGCAACTGGAGAAAAGAAATTAATAAAATCACAAGTACCAAGTGGGTCTAGCCTCTGCTCGTGTCCAGGCTGATGGCAATGTGATTGTCCTCAGTTATTAAACAGTCGTGGGAAACCCCACACGGAATCAGAACTACTTCGAACCAGGAGCACATGGCACAGTCCGCAGCCCTGGACGGTGACGAGGCTTCGCCGGGACTGGGATGCTGCGCCTTCTTGGATGGGGAGGGAACGCGAATGCCCCTGTTTACTGAGGCCCTGCCTGTGCCTACCGTCTCTGTGTCTGCCAGGCAGCGCATCTGATGCCTGCCCTGGAAGAGCGGAGCTCTCCAGAGGCAGCGGGGAGGCTGCCCCATCCTCCTGAGACACTCTTGTCCCAGGGGTGTGGAGGGGGAGGAGCCAGGACTCCGAGGCCACCTGTGGCACCCAGGCAGGTCCGAGGAGGTCTCCAAGTGGTGTGAGGGGGGCTCTTGTCCTTTGACGCCCCTACCCCAAGGCAAACCTAGGTCCCTGCCAGGCCAGTGCAATGCCATCTTCCCCACGAAGCCCTCTCTGAGTGTCCCCATTGAGTGTCTCTCTCAGAACTCTGAGACCTACAGCACTTTTGCTGCACTTCTCTGATTCTCTCTCCTAATGTTTCCCACTCACTGCCCACGGGCCCACGCGGCTCTGACTCCTCTCGCCCAGGGTCGCCCTGTCGGCTCCTGTACAGTCTTGTTCATTCTGCACCAGCCTACAGTCTATTGGGCAGTGGCTGGCTCTTGGCACATATTCAATAAATACCTGCTGGGTGTTTACAGTAATGAAAGGGTCCAGAAGAAGATCCCCAAGGTTCAAAAAGGTTTTCAAAACTTCCTTAAGGAAATGCAGTGGGGCAGCAGAAATTCACTTTCCACACTTACTGATGGAAATGCGTTCTGCAGATGCTCCATGATAAGTCACCAGGACTTTGCATGCCGTGTATCCCGAGATGATGGAATCTGTTGTTGATGTGGGTCACTGTGACCATCAAGTTGAATTTCATACACAGTCCATTCAGGGCACGATTCCCAGAATGTTCCTGAATGCCCCCAGTGACGAGAAAATCATGACTTGTCACAACAGTGCTTCAGCACCGAAGCCGTTCAGCTGTAGATCTTTCACACCTGTTTGAGGGACTTGCCCCCTTCTGCACACAGAGAATGTGGGGCACATCTCTTGGGGTGTCCAACGGCTGAGGCGGGGACCTGCGTATGTCTCCCAGCTCAGGTGCCCTCCAGGCCACACGTAGGTGTCACAGCTCCAGTGGGTCAGGAGGAAGTGAATGTCTGGGAACAGCCGCCTGCCCTTTCTATAGTAGCAGAAGGTGGCGCATGAGGGTGCGGGGTGGAGGGAAGCAGGTCAGAGCAGGCACCCAAAGGCTGCGTTCTGCTTTAATAACTGTGGCAGCACAGTGGGGACCCCAGCCTCCCACAACAGGCAGCTATCGATTCCTAATCCCCTCAGTACAGTCTGTGAAATTTGGGGCAAGATATTAACCTCCTGAGCCTTAGTTTATTTTTATAATGGTGACAATGTGGCCTGTGGCCCACATGATGGTGAAGAGTTCAGGAGGTACGTAAAGCAGTCAGCACCTGACTCGGCAGCTGATAAGTGTTCAGTATGTGCTGGCTTAGAGATTTCTTTTTTCTTTTAAAAACTCTAAAAATCCTCTAAAAATAATGACTAGATCAAAAGTAAATATTACATGTGGGAATTATGATGAGCCAAGTACTGCTCTGTGTTATCCTACAAACTCAGGAATGTCTCCCTTTCTCCCACACACAAAGGTGGCCAGAACTTTTTGGATTTGTCCTAAATGGTGTAAATTCAAAGGATCACAGAATAACATTTTATAGATGTATTTTGGGGCTAAGACTCGACAGCTCTTACTTCTTGCTGAACTTCTTTCCAGCTGCTCCGATGTGAAGTGTGTTTCATTGAGGGGCCCAGGATGTAGAAGACGCACGTCCCAAGCCCCAGGAGAGTGTGTGTCAAGCCCGCCACACACAGCAGCACGCACGCACCTGTGGCTGGCAGTTCAGCTCTACTTTCAGGTCAACCTAGGCTATCTGGTTTTTCTGTGCTCTAGCTTTGTGACAAAGGTGATAAACCCCTGCTACAATGAAAACAACTCTGCCAAGCAGAAGTGTGGTCTGACAAGTAGGAAAACACTGCAGGCAGTGAGTCACTCTGACAGGTCAGGGCTGTGAGCAGCCACTCCGTGAGGTGCACCCTGACCAGCTGACGGATTCAGACAGAAGCACGTGAGCCGCGGGAAGCTGCTCACTGACGTCGGTCAGCCACCGCACAGCACAGGTACCGCCTGCTGGGGGGACAGGCTGACGCTGCACCTGGCAACCCTTCCTCCCAGATGCCCAGTGTCCAATACCAAGTGAGGCCAAGCAGATGTGGACTTCGATGGCGAGGAGAAATGTGGGAGCACAGAACTAGAATTTGAGGCTCACTCTCCCTTCTTCATGAGGTCTGACAACCGAAGACCAACACACCATTTCCTCAAACTCTGAGATTCCGGGGCTTTGGGTCCTGTAAGCCACAGGCCATGCCACCTCACCCCAAGTGCTTCACCTCTAGGGTGACTGATGCCCTCTGTTACAGAGGCCCCATGTAAGAGCAGTGCCAGGGCACAGTCCTGGGGAATGAGCTGCCCTTGTGGTGACCTCGCAAATGTACACAGGAGTTCACGGAGGGAGAAAGAATAGAGCATGACATTCAAAGTGGCCTGTGAAGCCGTGTTTGGTAGACTCACTCAGCTTTACACGCCCCGCAGTCACCCTCATGGTGGTCTTGGTCTGTAAGTCAGGGCGGCAGGGTTTGTGGGGGTCACACCCAGCGGCTCATATGGGAGGGAAACTGCTTCTGGACAGCCCCGGAGGTAGTTCTTCAGGTGGGGGGTGCGGCGCTGTCCCCCCACACCCATCTGAGCCGCAGGGCCTGGAGCAGCTCTGCACTGCTGGCAGCCGCCTGGGAAGTCACGTTCCCCCTCGGCCGTGTCAGCGGGCCACCGGGCCTCCCCTCGGGGCTGGCCGGCTACATCCTCTGCTCACCTCCCACTTCTCTTTGTCATAAAGCCAGAGCAATTTCTTACAAAACAATAATGAGTCTAGAAAATGGTCAAAATGCTCCAAATCGAGTTCCTGCAGAGTGCGAGAACTGGCACGTGGAACGAGGTGCCCAGGCGGCACCCTCTACCTCATCGAGTAACAGGGCAAACGGAAGGATCCCTGCGGGAGCTCAGCTGTCGCTTCTGTTCTCCGACTTATTTCCTCCCTTGAGACTGAGTGGGACACATCTACCCTGATTTACCCACGTCAAAGGAACTTTCCCTGCGCATGCTGCCATGGGGGGTTGTACATGGAGGCCTGGGGGCCTGGCTCTTACTTTCTTCCAGGAGGTCGTTGTCTTCAGCTTCTCGCTCCATCTCTGCGCACCAGCCCTCCATCCTCTTGGTCTCCGTGTGCAGCAGCTTCAGGAACCAGGAGCCGTCCCTGCGGCACGGGGACATCCTGCCTGTCTCCACCGTCTCCGCGGCCGGCTCCAGCCAGGGCTCTGCCGGCGGCAGGCTCGCTGGGCCTGCTGGGGCCCTGTGGTCCTCCCGGTAACTGAACAGTCCCTGGGTCCGCACAGTCCTCAGCGCCCCGTACTGGGTGGGGGTGCTGGGCTCCGAGTGCCGCTGGAGGGAGGGGCCGAACTGCAGGCCTTTGTCTTCCATGGTGATGTGTGTCGGGAAGCCCTCCAGCTCCAGGTCTGCCTGCACAGCCGCCGTCACGCTGTTCGAGCGCTTGAAACGTCCGTGCCTGCGAAGGAGGGAAAGGTGACAAATGGGAGCCTTCTTGAGATTATGCAGTGACCGTAGGCCCTCAGCAACCCCTGCCCAACGAGAGCAGGAATGCTTGCATCTTTATTACCAACAGTTTGGAGTTCCCTCTGTGAAAGAACATTTGATTTAGCAAACAGTCACCCTCTAAATCCTCCTAAGTCCCAACGTCTAAACAGCACCCAGTTAAGGTTTAAGTTTAGTGCCAGAAACAGTGAGGTTCTGTGTCCCAGGAAACTACTCTCTTGGGACGGGTGCCTTCCTTTTGGGAATATGCCTCAAGTTTGCACAGCCCTCAGATGCTGCACAGATGTAAAACGAAGCTGAGAGTCGCTTCTTTTATGTAAGTAACATCTGCATCCTCCTGATTTTGGTAACACATGTCAAGGCATGAGTTTCTTCTGTCTGAATAACTTAGTATCACCCCCACTAAGGCTTTTATGCAAAAAATGAATCCAAAATCTGACTTGGTTGGTGTTTCAAAAACATCTCCATCTTATTTATGTATTTGAATGTCAACTCACTTCCACATGGCCAATTACTGAATGACAGGCAGGCACGAGCTTACCACTGGATCTAGACCCTGGTGAGGGCTCTGTGCGTGGGGCTGTGTGCACATGCGAACTTCACCTCCCTGCCTGCTGCACCTGCAGACGGCACGCAGCTGTGAGAGCTGCTTGGTGAGCCTGCCGCTTGTCTCCGCTGAAGGCAGAGGACAGGAGGACGGCCGGAAGGGGCGGAAGGCAGCAGGCCCAGATCCTCAGGGGTAGGACGGCCCGGTTCTGACCGGCTGCGGGGAGCAGAAGGGTCCTAAAACCCTCCACTGCGACCACTGTGAGCAAGGCCACCCAGGACTTAACCACCTAGATGCCAACTGAAGTTCAAGAGGTAATGGGCTCGTTAAAATTAGTTTTGATGAAACTTAACAAGATGCGCTATTCAAACATAAGATAAAATATTACCCTGCTCTTGTTACAAAAAGGCCGTCTGTATTTTATAGTTGGAGGTCAAGAGCAGCTACTCTCTCTCTGTCCTTTTCACTTTTAACATAAGGCGAGAGAACATGCCTCTGCTTTGCCCTCTGCCTGTTTCCTGCCTGTGGATCAGGGGCTCTGGGAGCTGCCAGCCACTCTGCTTCCGTAGGCGGTAAATCACTTTGGAAAGAATTGTTCCCCTGCCTCTTCAAAAACAAGACTCAGGCAGATGTTGATTCATAGTTGAGGGATATAAATTGAAAAGTGTAAATATATGGCAAGAATCACTGACAGTCAGCATGATGGAGGAGCTGCCGTCTGGTTTTTAACAAGCGGTTCTCCCTTGGGAAACGCATGCATCTTGGAGGGGCTGCCTCACCGTTTCTTGTCCTCCACCTGCACACCGACAGAGTGGTACTCCCGCAGGCCTCGGCTCTCCGTGTCAGAGTCCGTTCCTGTTTCCACCTAGTGCAACACAAAACATCTCATTTTAGAGCTGGGACATGGGACCTGGCCCAGGCACTATCTGTGTGTGTGTTAGCTTGTTGCAACTAATTATTTGTTTGTTGGACTGATGGCCTGGGGGGCATGGGAGGGGAGATGCGTGCATATCGCTGCAGTGGGTCGCTGCTGTGTCTCACACCTCTTACAAAACCACGTGAGCTCAGTGCTGGCTTAAATCTTTTACATGTATGCAAACAGATCTGCTTAGCTCAGCTCAGGCAAAAAAATTGGCCTTGTTGGCCTGCATGATTGTAAGACGCCCTGCTGTGAGGGGAGGACAGCACGAGCCAGGCGGAGCTGACAACACGTGAGCAACTTAATAGAATTATACTGACGGCTGCATACACACACAGAAAACACACGGGAAGAAATTCAAGCCTTTATCAGGAACACTGAGGCAGCCTCTCCATCTGTCCCTACATATGCCGCCTCACATTCATTAATAGGACTGTACTCAGCAGAGTGACATCAGGACAGAACAGTGATCACGCACTTGACACGGAATCCTCACTGTGGCCGTTATTTGTCAGAAAGTCTCCCCAAACCCATGAAGCATTTTAACGAACATCAACAGTGTAAAGGTAACAAAGTATGGTACATTTTCTAAAAGAAATACAGAAAACTCAAAACTCTCAGTACGAAAAGTCTGTGAAACCAACGGTTAGTTTAGTCAAACATTATCCCAGCTGCTCCACTCGCCCTTTCCTTTCTCACAAAAAAATATTATTTATTGTATCAATAGGACTTTGGACCCCAATCCAGAATGTTGGAACTAAGTTGTAAAACACATCTTTTCTTGAAAATATTAGTGATTACTACAAAGGCAAGACACAAACCATTAAACCAATAGTTGTGACACTCTCTCCTGTGAGTCACGAGAGAAAAAGGTATACTTTACAATTGTGACTGTGATTTATGACGCTCCCACAGCTCTGCCTATGTCATCGAGGGCTGACTCGATTTGTGGTGGACAGAAGTAACGATGCTAAGAGATGATCTTCATTTCTCGCTTACCATGCACAAGGCACTACTCGGGGCATAACAAGCACAATCCCACGTAGTCCACAAATACCCCTGGTGTTGCTTCTGGCCATAGCCATGTTGAACAGTTGAGGAATCAGAGAAGGTGAGAAACTTGCCCAGGGGTGCACAGCTTGCTGGGGGCAGAGCCAAGATTCACGCCCCCATCTCTCTGACTGCAGAGCCATGCTCTGCACTGACCCTCGAGGCCAGAATAAACATGGCCACATGAAGACCTTGGAGATCCTGGCTGGTGACTGAGCCCCGGGGAATGGCTGGGTATGCCCTGTTTGGTTTTCTTTAGTGCATAGAAACAATGTCCCACTTTGCTCCCTGTTTTCACAGCCGGAGGACAGGCTGCCTTCAGGAGGGACACTCCTGAGTGGACACCCTAACCCTGCCCTTACCCCTTCTAGTTTCAGTGGGTCATGCCTTCAATATAGTTTGCCTTGCTGGACATGGAGACTATTATTGTTACTATTTTACACAGAAGGACTGCAATAAAAAATTAATGTACTTAAAATGTTATCACATGTCTGCAGATAGAGCTGCCTTGAGCATTAACTACATGCCATTCCATTTTCTGACTCCAACCTAATTTATTTAATCAGTCTTCAATGGAGGGATAATTTGTTTATTTCTAGCTTTCCACTGTTATAAATGATGTTATTCTAAATATATGTCCACACATGTATGTATGTGCAAATTTTGTGAATATATTCATAGCTTATGTGGCTGCAGGGTCAAAGGTATTTCATTTTACAATTTTGGAGATATTGTTAAAAAATTTGATAGATATGTGATATGGGTGAGATGAATTCATATGGGTACTTTTAGAGAGATTTTTGCAACAGAAAAGGCACTAATTCTTATCATCAAATGTTCACCATATTTGCCTCACTCCATTTTTAGGATTCTAGTCTAGAGCGATTACCTTAAATTCTGACTGATGTGTGAGATATCCATCCCAGCATTATTTATAAGGTGAAACATGGGGAAAATCGGGGGTTGGTAAGTCGGGAGACACATATGATTGACTCATGACACAGAGCACGATGCGGTTAGCTACTCAGCATGATTCCAAGGACTGACATGGAGAACGCATGTGTGACACTGTGGGCTGAGGAGCAGAAATGGCAGGTGGCATGAACAGTGAAGTCACAGAACACATGTACACACTTAAAACACACATGTGTTCAGGTACAAAAACATACTCCACAAGGGACAAAAATAAATCCCATTTACAACAAAAGGATTTTTCCTTCCTTTTTCTAGTCTTCACACTTTCTTTAATACAATTCATATTTTTATAGTGAATGAAAAAAAAACAGCTTTTGGAGCCAGTCAGATTCTGCTGCCTGCCAGCCAGGTGTGCAACCAGGGCCCTGGCAGGTGTGATCTCTAAAGCGGGCTCACCTGCACCCTGCCCGTGAGCCCGCCCGCAGCAGTGCAGGTGCGGTGCTTCAGGGGCACACGCTGCACTTCCCCCAGGGTCTGTCATAGTCCAGGCGGCCAGCACAAGCTGCCAGCCAGCAGCTGTGGAGGGCAGGGGCACAGAGTGCAGCTGCATGGTGGGCAGCCCAGGCTCCTCGGCTGCCACGTCAACGCCCATGCCTGCTGCCAAAACAGGGTGTCACCCCCGTTTTAAAGACAGGCTTCTGAGGCAGGAGGGTGGAGGGGCTCCTGAACATCGACCCGACCACAGGGTCTCGGGGCTGGCAATGCCCAGCAGGGTCACACACACAGCAAACTCTGCAACGACGGACACGTCACAGATAAAGACAGAAGGAGTCACAAAGGGGAGATCACCATTGCCCTGAGGAGGGGAGGCAGGGCCAGGCCAGGCTTCCATCCGATGACCGGCTGGCACACTGGCGGCAGCTTAGCCAGACCCTGAAGAGCCCACATGGATGTCATGGGACACACTGTGGCTCTGCCTGGTGGGGGCTCATCAGGCCTGACACCACAGAAGCTGCCTGCAGCCGTGTGAACTCTGACCCATGGGAAGAATAGGGTTTGTACATGAAAACCCTCTACCACCTGCCTTCAGACAGAACTCTGCCCATTTCCCTAGCCAGCTGTGCCTGTGGGGGATCAGCCAGCAGGAGGCCAAGATCAGGCCCCACTCAGCCAGCTGAACATGCAGGAGCCTGGCAGCTTCTCTTCACAAGCTGCAGGGCAGAGGGGCCCGACCCGCGCTCCACCACTGGGAAAGACTTCTGCCCTCCGACGGGCTCACAGACGGCACCGCACCACCCCTTCCTCTCTGGAAGCAGGTGGACAGTGCGCTTCCGATGCCGCCCTCGCGGCTCCACTTGGCTTTAGGACTCGTGGCTGTGGCCCCCTAGGCAAGTCACCTCCCCTGAGCCCCAGGCCCCCACTGGTAATTGGATGCGGTGACAGCTGGTGTGCAGTGTTGGCATTAGGGCTCCGTGAGCATGGCTGGAGGGCCAGGGCCAGAGTGGCCTGTCCATGTGGCTATTTTTTCATCATTATGACTTGCTGTGCCTCTCACTGGCCATTCTCCCGGCCTGTAGGTATCTGCATGTGGCCTTCCATCTGCTTAAATCTTACCTTGTCTGTCTTCATTCTCTGCTCTTTGAGCTGGGATCCTACACTCATCCACCTTTAGTTCTTTGATTCTTAGTCACCCAAACACTGAGTTTCTGTGACTTTCCTTAGCTTTCCAGCTCACTTTTATTTGACACTCGTGAGGTTACAAGCTCACAAGATTCTGTGTGTTTGTACTGCCACAAAAGACAGCTGAGTCTGTTGTACACGCACATTTTTGCATTCACACTATAGTCACCAGCCACTCACGCGGCCACTCACTCACCCCACATTTACTAAGCACTCGCTATGTGCCAGGCACGGTGCTAGGCGCTGGGTTATGAAGAGATAGAGGGTGCAGACTTCACAGAACATGCAGTTTTGGGGGACGGTCAGGAAAGGCTTCTAGGGAGGGTGGTGCATGGGCTAAGCAGTGGTGGAGGAACGAAACATATTCCCCAGGGGAGGAACGGTTGCTGGGGGCAGAGTGGGCTGTGGGGAAGAGGTGGCATCCCATAGCGTGGACAATCTAATTGTACGGGTTTCTGGAACTGTGTTCTCACGACCTGCACACAGTGGCTGCGCATGCTCAGAAGCTGATGCTCCCACTGTGGGGCTGGGCTGGCAGCAGGGAGAAAGCCGGTAGCAGTGGCCGTGGGACACCCAGAGGGCGCGTGAGTGCCCAGCAAAGTGGAGTTGGCAGCGTTAATCGGGGATCCGACAGGTCTCCTCTTGAGACGTGGCTGCAGGGCCAGGATGACCGGTGTGTGAACCCCGCTGCCATCACGCTGGCACCATGGCCTCAGTGAGTCCTCTGCTGTAGGAGGTCACCAGGGCTGGTTCCTGCCTCTGTCCTCACAGTGGGGCTGATTACATGTCACTGGGGGATCAAGTCTGTCTTGCAGCTCATGGGAGCACCTAGCATAGTGCCTGGCATATAGAATCAGGACAGAGAGGTGACAAGAGCAGTCGTATGAATAATCCAAAAAAGGGAGATAAAATGAAATTCATGCGTACTTGGCTTTGGGGCATGTTTCGGTACTTACATCTGACCTTGGGTATGGCTGAAGCTCTGGGAATTCAGAATCCTAAACAAAACATGAAGCCACAGTGTGGGGACCTGGTTCAAGGACTGGGACAAGCGGGCACGTCCCCCGCTGCTCCCGTGCCCGTGTACCCAGAGCTCCCCTCTCATGGGCACTGGGTGTGGCCTGGCCAGAGCTTGGTGCCCTCCTCCCTGGTGGGGAGCCCCCTGATTTCTATAACGTGTGCTGGACACAGGCTGAAGGGGTGACAGGAAACAGGAGGTGAACCATGTTTGCAAAGGGCTCAGTAAAACCGCTGACCCACCATGCCACAGGATCTCACAGAGCGTCACCAAGACCAACGAGGGGATGCCCTGTTAGTGTGAGGGGTGCCCTGTGCCATCCCAGGCTGGGAAGTGGGCTGGCAGGGACTCCTGCTTCTCAGCACTGCACCTGACACCTCCCAGCCCTGCATGTGTGGAGTGGCACCAGAGCCCAGCCTGGCCGCCTGACCAGAGGCCGAGGGAGGGCTCCCCAGGTGTGTGCCCAGGGCAGACCAGGGGGCCTAGACAGACGTAGGTCAGCCTCAGGGGTCTGAGACCACGGCTGCAGCACTGTGGCCACGACTGAGCACCCTGCAGCGGGAGGGGAAGTGCCTTCCAGGGCCCACACCACATGGCTGTGAGTGCCGGGCGCTTTGAGCCAGACCCTTTGCTCCTCTTTTTACTTTATTCCCAAGTCTTTTCCCCTGACTCAACCGTTTGGCTGCGAGACTGAATAGCTCTTGAAAAATCAGGTTTCAACAAAAAGCATCCTTCTTAAGCATCAAAATCACCTGTTTCAACACTCCCTAAGCAGACAGCGGCCCCTAGAAAATGGCCTGGGTTGGGAGGGGACTGTCGGGTGGCAGGGGCAGGCCTGAGCCCAGGCCCTGGGCAGCCTGGGAGGTTGTGCAAGCTGGCTGGCACTGAGAAGACCGTCCTGCCACCCCCCGGCACACAAAGGCTGTGGCTGCTGCTAAGGACCAGGGGCCGGGTGTGGCTTGTCCCGGGCTCTGCTACTTACAGAGCCCGGTGGGGCGGGTGGCAGGGCACGTGGTGGAGGAGGCTACCTGGATCCCGATGGAGGGGCGCCGGCTCTTGAGGAAGTCCTCGGCCTTGGACACGAGGATGGCCTTGTCGCTGGTGCGCGCCGAACCGCCCAGGCCCTCGGAGGCATGGCGCTGGGCCACGGCTGTCTCCAGGGCAAGGCTCATGGCCTTGCTGCTGTCCAGGCTGTCCGTGGAGTTGTAGCGGCCCCGGCCATCCTGGGGCCACGGGGACACCCTCTGGGCTCGGCTGTCCTGGTAGGCATCCTGCGTGGACTCTGTGCTGCTCTGCGCTGTCACCGAAATCAGAGGCTTGGAGGTCGTCCGAGGGGGCACGGGGGGTGGTGTCCTTTTGTAGTTCGTGTAAGAGACAGCTGCACGGAAACAAAATCCCAGGTCAACAGGAGCCTATTTCCTCTCCTTCCACATGGAAATAAGGCCCAAGGGTTCATTCCCTACGACCATTAAGCAAGCCTATTCCTTGCATATCTAGACTGAAAAATAATGCAAAATATGCACAGAGATCGTCCATCTTCACAGATATATTTATAATACTGAAAAGTGATAAGAACACCAAAAATCCAGCAATAGCAACAGGATTAAGCACCTTGTGACGCAGCAGGACAGAAAGCAGCCATGCCGTATTTTCCATGTGGTCACGGTGTCATGGGGGTGCTTCTTCGTGACGCTAAGTTAAAGAGCAGGACATGAACTTACATCCAGACTAGGGTGACATGTGCTTGTAAAGCAAACCCAGGTGTAAGGTGAGAAGCACATGAACCCATTCTCCGCAGTCGTCCCTGAGGGCACGTGGGCAGTTGTTTCCACGTTGCTTAGATTCTGAAAATGCTTATGACGAGTATTAATTTTATGATGGATAAAATATATAATATCAGAAGACCGTTTGCTCCGCACAAGCGAGCACCTCCTGGGCCTCCCCTGTAGAAGCCGATTGGAAGGGACCAGGCTCTCCAGACATTTCCCGGCCATACCTCCTTCCCCTTTCAGTCACTTTACCTGCTCTCACCCTGCCCTGCACAGTAAACCCACCAAAGAAAAACATGCATCTGGACAAGACCTTATACTAACTGTCTCTTAGAAACTCATCAGACGTATTTGCAGGGCTCGGGGTGTTGTTTTACAGCAAGGACGAACTATGCCTCGCTTCTGTTCCCATGTGAATGGGCTTTCACTGCAGCAGACGATTCTCCTTCATGTGGCACAGATGAGCCGACCAGAGCTCGACAGACACTCCTTCATCACATTGCACCCGCAGTCCTGGGCTGTGTGGCCAGCTGCACACATGCATCTCCTGGAAGAGCACGGGGCCTCCGTGGGGGCTCAGCGGGTGTGCAGTGGCCAGCGCTGGGCAAGGGCAGCACTGCAGTGAGGTCCACCCTTGGTGATAGGAAGGCCAGTGCTGACGGCAGCCGTGAGCTGGGCACCATCCCTCACTTCTTTGGAGATTGTTACCATGTTAATATGTGTGTATTTATGAAATACAGGCACAGGATGGAAATGCCACCAGATGCACAGCTCCCAGGGGTGCACACCTGCACTCACACCTGGGGACCTGCCACGTGCCCGGCACCACGTGCAATACTGTACTCTGTTGCCCACAGAAGCTTCAGAACAGCCCTGGCCGGCAGATGGTGTTTGGGTTTCCATTTGCAGATGGGAAAATGCAGGTTCTCCTGAGGTTGGAGAGCAGACAGGTGGTGTGGAAGGGGCGTCCGGGTCCTCTCCAGCGGTTGGCCGCGTGGGTCCTCAGCTCTGCCACCGTGCGCACCCAGGGCCCGGTTGATTTCTCGTGGCCTCATCTCAGCTATTCTCTTTGAAGAGACAGGCTCCTCCTCAGCGCCCAGAAGCACACTGGAATCCTTGCCTGTTGCCCAGCTAAATGGGACCATCACTTATTGTTTTACCAAGAATTCCTCAGTTTTCTTTAAAAAAAAATCGAAATGCACTTGGTGGCAGAAAAAGTTTCGGATTGTGCTCTCTCTCTGTGACCCAGTGTTTGAGGGGACCATTAGCTAACGGGCTTAAGACTAATAGGAGGGAATCAACGGTGATCACCTTCCACTTCCTTACGTGCTCGAGAGCCGCGGGGGTCACTTTCGGGGAGGAGGCCACGTGATACCTGCTCGCCCCCCAGTGGCATGTTTCCCGGCCTTCAGGAAGCTCGTGGGGGCCGAGCTTCTCAGGCACCCACCCTGCACAGCAGTGCCGTGAAGGCCCACAGACACGTGGCATTTTAGCCCAATAACGGTGGTGTTCCACCCCCGGCCCCTCTCAGCACCCTGACCGGCCACCCGATGCAGAGAAGGGATGGGGAGAGGCTGCCCCCGTCAGCACGCGGCCGCAGGTGCCAAGGCCGCCGAGCACCCCGATCCCCGTGAGCTCAGACCAGCAGTGTTCCCTCGGCGCTCGGAGGTGAACAGGAAAAATCCCGAATGAGTATGAAAAGGATTTCTGTTTGTACAGTTGTCTTGGCAATAGCTAACATTTGAGAACAGGTGCGAGGGGCCGCCGTTATTTCCGGCTCGGCCCTGCAGGCTCCCCACTGCTGTGGAGCAGGGCTGCCAGCGGACGGCCTGGGGCCCTGGGGCCCATCCGAGGGCCTCCCACGGCGACAGCCTCCCAGGACAGGGGCGTGGGCTCTTGGAGGAGACATGTGGGGCGTCCAGCTAAGGGGCCCGGGCGGAGATCCCGCTGACCATCTGAGGATTGCCTGTGCACAGGACCCAAGCCACCAACATCTCCACCGAGGGAAACGTGTGCACGGGGGGATGTTTTTAAGCCCCTGAAAATAGATCTCCTGTCCACGTGATTCCCTTTGTAACAGCCCATGGGTTATCCGACACACAGACCTTAACAGAGGTTAAATAACTGATAGCCAACGTTCTGAGAAATAGTAAGTTTTACACAGGTTAAAGAAACATATTTGGAAATACGCATAAGAACTTTTAGGCACCCCAATACCAACCTTTTCCTACATGTTGTACGGAAGTCGAATGGGATTTGTATTTTAAGGTGGAAGAGAGGCATTTAATATGCCTCTTGAAGGTTCCTTTTGCCGCTCGCTGAGGTCCTATATACATATGATCTGATTTCTCTTGGTTTTTAAATGGGGATGTTTATAGTAGAACAATAAATCACTTTAATATTCTTGGTTAGTTGCATGTTTCTACATTTTATAATTTAAAATTGAAGCATTAGTTGTCACTCTTGGGTAATAGTTCATAAAATAGCTCAGATAAGTAAAATAACATTGAGATGGACATTTTAAAAAACCAAAGGATATCGATGTATCTGTTCCCTCATTAGCCCACTCCTTTGGACAAATATTTGTAGTTTCCTACGATCTTGTGGCATAGAACTGTGTATTCCTAAATGGCTCGTTAAAGTTAGAATTAGAAGCTGGTAAATACAGTAAAGAAAGAATTAAAAATAATAATTTGATCATGTTAATTGCTGCCATGGATTAAAATAAGCAGTTAAAGAAATGATTTTATACATTCAAGACAAACACTCAATTTTTTAGTGGGAAAGCTTGAGCAATAATGATTTTATTAATTCTGTGTTTGTGAATCCATAATTAGGATATATTGACAATAATTATTAGTCAATAATTATTAGCTAATAATTATTAGTTACAGGCTGGGTTATCTATCATTTTTTATATGTATGTCAGGCAAACATTAAATACAACCGAAAAATTTAAGTTTAATTTAGCCATATAATTCTATTGAGGTATGTACATCTTTAAAAGGCAGATAAACCAATACCTATTTCTAAATAACCACATAAGATTTATTTAAATATCAGTGATCAAATGTGAATTTTGAAGTAAAAAAATGAAATGATTACTCAATATCTTAAAGTATCTGAAAACCTATTTTTTTTTTTTTTAGTTGAGTCCAGGCATGACCATCCTTTTCATTTTAGAGGCCTGTCACCGATCTCCTTCACTATGTGTATAGTACTCTGAGCATCGCTGGAGATTTTTCAAGTCACTTCCTAATTAAAGGGAGAGAGATTAAAATATACCTATGGTTTCTAATCCAGTTACTGAATTAGCTTGGATTTTGCTTATGTCTCAGGGACAATTGGGTGACAGTCACCCGAAAGTCCTGGGAGCCAGGGAAAGGCGTGCTCGGTACAGGGCCTTCTCTTAAGTGTAAGATAAGCCTCTGTTCCATCAAGAGAAAGCCGATTTCACTACTTAAGTTGGAAGGAGTCATGCACATAACACAGTTTAGGAGGATCTCGGTAAAAATGGCATTAAACCAGAAGTAGTGATGTGCACAGGAAACCTGGCTCAGGTGGACTAGTTCTTGTGGTCAGAGTGAAGCAGAGGGCGCGTGGAAGGACAGTACTTTCCCAGATGTGTTTGGGATTGAGTTAATCTCATTTGGAAGTCCTCTCTGAGGAAACTGCTCCAAGCCCTGGGCCACGAGGTGGGAATGTGGGAAGAGTCTGCAGCTGCCCACATTGGCCGAGTGCGAGGGCCGCTTGGGGGTGGACCCCACAGAAACTGCCTGCAAACACGTGGATGTATGAGAAAGGCTTCATTCCTGACTGCTCACCCAGTGGCATAAAGATGAGCCAAATTCAAATGGCCAAAAGTTCTAAAATACCTAAATACCTAAACTACAATTAAAAGCCAGCTCCCCTGTGACACCAGCTGCCTGTAAGCCGCCTGACCGTGACACGGCTGGCGGGCAGAGCAACAGACAGCACGGGCCCAGAACAGTTCACCATGTGGCTCGACACCAGCCTGTGTCACCTGTCTGTTCAAGAAATAACAGAAGGCACGTGATATTTGATCGTAAGGACTGTCCTCAGGTCTTCAAGGTGTTGGGTTAAGAAATCTCCTGAAAGAGACCTTGGAGAAACACCTTTCATTTAAGATAAGCCACCTGAATGAGGTAAAACAAGCTTTGTTACTTTAAATGCATGCCTAATTATCCACCTACATCTGGAGTTCTGGACACCGTTTCTGAGTTCAAGCCTTGGAAGTCATTTGTAAGCCAAAAAGAAAAGTTGACAATTAGCATTTTATCGTGTGAGGCATGAATATGTAATCAAGATAAAATGTGTTTCTGTGGCAAGAATCGCTTTTCAGTCTGAATGTGGCAGCCACGCTTACACCCACAGCCCCTCCTAATTAGGACTCTAAAGTCAACAACACAGAAGCGGCTACAGTAATCAAGCCCATGAATGTCCAAATGAGAGTCTGGATATTGCAGAAGCCAAACGCTGAAGGCAAAGGATTCACTACAAAAGATTAAAGTTATTTTGACACTTTACTGAATATTAGTTTCAAAACATAAGTGTAAATCAAACAGGACACAGAAATGTGCACACATCC